GTAGTAACGGCATATAGAGTGATCCCCCCTCCCGGGACATAGACCCAGCTCTCAAACTTTGAACAGGATTGAAAGTTAACCAATATATCGGTGTGGGATAGCACGTTAGCATCATTGCACCGAAGATGTTATATAAGACAGCCAAAAAACGAAAACCCGATAACTGAGGAAATCAACACTCACTTTTGAAATTGTGTATGATGATTTCATGTAGAAACGTATCATATACGAATTTAGTCAACATGTACATGTTTTTGTGCTATCTAAACTTTGACATGTTCAGTAGCAATAAAGGTGTGTCAATTTCACGAAAACTTTTCTTATTGTGTTATTTTTTACTCTTACAAAACCTTTAAAAAGGGTAGTTCAAGCTCATAAAGGTCAAGAACACTGATTTGTTCTCATTGTAATAAAACTTATAACTGTATTAAGAAAAACACATGCAACTAATAACAGATAATTAATACGCATGAATTTTCAACCCTGAAGTAATCAGGTCTGTTGATTATCCAAAAGTACCTTTGTGGTACTCAAGATATCTGTGGAACCCCTATAAATTGGTTAATTTATGCAAATTAGGTAATTAGTAAGCAATTTTACCCTGAACTGAATATGGCTTATTCCTAAGCATCTACATGTGTATGTACAAAGTTTCATTGAATCTGATGAGTGGTTGAGATAATGATGAAGAGTAAAATATTATAGTATAATATAATAATTTATATGCAAATTAGGTCATTTATAGACACAGATTTCAACCAAAAACTAATCAGGTTTGTGCATTATCCAAAAGTATCTATTGTATCATTTTTCATTAAAATGTGTTTAATGGTACTTGAGAAAAAAGTGAAAATGCTTAAAATCTGCTAATTAATATGCCAATTAGGCAAGTAATTTGCATGGAATTCCAACAACAAAATGTATCACGTCTGAGTATAGTCCTAGAGTAAATATGTACCAAGTTTCATTGAAATCTGTTTATTAGTATATGAGATATAAGTGAGAATGCTTAAAATCTGCTAATTAATATGCCAATTAGGCAATTAATATGAATGGAATTCCAACAAAAAAATTATCACATCTGAGTATGGTCCTGGAGTAACTATGTACCAAGTTTCATTGGAATCTGTTTAATAGTATATGCGAAACAAGTGAGAATGCTTAAAAGTGGCTAATTAATATGAAACTTGTGTAATTAATATACACAGATTTAAATTAAAACCTAATCAGGTCTGTGTATCATTCCAGAGCATCTATGTACAAAGTTCCATTGAAATCTGTTTATGAGTACATGAGAAACAAGCTTAAAATCTGTTAATTGCAATTAATATGCAAATTAGTTAAATAGTATGCACAGATTTCAACCAAAAACTAATCAGGTCTGAGCAATATCCCAGAGCATCTATATACCAAGTTTCATTGAAATCTGATAATTGGTTCTTGAGATATCAGTGGAACAGACACACACACACATACATACACACACATGCAATATATAATGACCCATGAAGCATAAACACTCTTTCAAAAATCAGAATGACGAAAGTTTAATAAATATATTCCACCATACTTTACAATAACTTTACAGATACATTTGACATTCAAGCGCATTTAATAAACTGATGAAATCTAAAATACTTTTTATATAATGTTATATATTTCAGGTAAGATTGGCTTTGTGGTTATTGATTGATGTGTAGCACAGGTGTTTTGGTTACTTTCCGTCAAATGTTCTTTCAGAATACACATGGGAAAATCGCTATACCAGCAAAATAATAAGAATCTTTTCATAAGCATTTAGTTATTAAATATTTCAAAGAATATCATCTTGTACATATAGGTCACATCCACAATATATAGTGCAATTTCTTTATTCTCAATTTAATATTGTGAAACTAATCACATTTTAAACCCATCTATTGAATTATGTAAGATGCTTTCATACATATTACCAAAGAATGCTAAGTTCAAAATTTACTTTGATAGTTTACGCTTGAATCAGATTATTTTACAGATATATACATGCATATAAAAGTCACTATGATACAATTATACTTCAATACATAAATGTACAATTGCCTAGCTAGCTTGAAGCATTTCTATATGAAAGTAATCTTATTATCATTATCAAAAACAATTTTACTAACTCCATCTAAACATACATACATACACAAACCCATGCGTACATAGATATATTTGAACACGTGTATAAAACATGTTCACTCACGATGGATGTAAAATTTCCAAACATGACATACTTTACAACGACCATACTGAATGAATATTCAATTATATATAGCAGTAGTTATGAACCTTGGCCAATGAAAATGTATAATTACTTTCTTTTTTTTCAGCACCCAAATCGAAAATTTTACATGCCTGTAAATGTAATATGAATACATAGTAGATGGCACAAAAACAAAATGTATTGACATAAAGGGCGGTGGTCATCACGTCATGCTGCGTCACGTCCTGTTTGATATGGGACCCATAGCGACGTACACAGCATGTGTTTGGTTACATACAATTTTAACTTGCGCGACGACCACCGCGCTTCAATATGGGAATTGATGAACTTAAAAAAACAAAAAAACACTTGTTATATTAATGAATAATTATATAATTATTAAATTTAATATGTAGCATGAATGTAGAAGTAAATGCAATAACACTTGTACGAAACCATGAAACAGGATCATTGTCAAAAGTTGTACCTCTAATATTAAATAAAGAATTAAAGATTTAAGTTTACAATCATTTCAATTCAACAATAATTTAAATAAAGACTGAATGTGACTTCATAGTGTACAGAGAGCAAACATAATAAGTTATAATAGTGTTTTTACAAATAATATAATATAGTATGTAGGTAAATACAATAATATACAACATAAGCCACAAAAATTAAAAGATGGTAGTGTGTTTTGTCTATTCAATGATGTGCTATATTCATCTTCTCACCACCAGACTTTCTGGCCCAAATTTTCAATACTTTTTTGTTTATGTTCAATATTTCTGCAAATGAACCCTAACTTTGGAGCCAACAGACACAATTTGTGTAAATTTTCAGATTTTACTCAAAACAATTTGGCTATTTTTGTCTCAATCTTCTGAAGGAAAGAGCAGACTATAAAGGGGACCATTTTGTGAATTTGTGATGAAAAGGGGGAACTGGTTGCAAAAAGGTTAAGAATGAAATATGGATGTAATTGTTAATATCTTTCGTAGGAACTGTATGTTGATGAATACATTAAGATTTATCATGAACAAAAATGTTACTGTTTTTTCGAATGAATGCTGTTGTGTTGTAATAATTTTAGTTTATGATATATTTATATGTTAAGATAGTGACTAGGGATAAATAAATTTGTAATCAACTTGAAATTCTCTGTAACTAAGTAAATATTTAATTATTAAGTTGGGATATAGGAAAATAGTACTACCGGTATGTGCATTTCAAATCATTGTTTGCTCCAGAGATTAAGTAAACAACTAAAAAAATCTAAAAATTTCCCCCCCAAAAGTTAAACAGTTTTGTAATTAGAACATTCTACCAAACGAAATATTAATGTAATTCTTAGCAGCGAACATCCAAGCATTTTAACTGCCTGCCAACCACAGCTGGTAAAAACAACAGTTGAAAATTCTCAAAAAAAACTGTGCTTTTGGCAAGTAGTTGGGACTCTCCAGAACAGTTTAACAAGATTACCCTTACATGAGGAAACATTTATAAATTTAGTTGTTCAGGATTGTTTCATAGTTAAGTTTGTGCTGTTTTTCTCAACTTGTTGTTTTCACTGACTTTCCACTGCAGCTCATACACAACCCATAGAAATACATCATATAGTGATGTGAATCTTAGCAACATTCTTTGTCCGGTCCTCAGAATTGTTAAAAGAGATCACATCTTAATTTTTAAATTTATAAATACAATCTGAGTAGTAAGTAAAACCTGGCCGCTTGAATACTTTCATTTTTCTATAAATAATGGCGCCCTCTGTGGCAGCCATCACAATTTTGCTCAGCTTTCTAGCATTTTATTTATAAATAAACAAATAAACCAATGTACTGTGTATTTTGATTTTTTTTTAATCTGTGACCTATGAACTCTGTCTATATTTAGAATAACATGCTTGAAATCTAACAAGTATGTGATAATATTATATCTATATATCTATATACATGTATAAGCAATTATCCTTTCACAATATACATAAACTTTTATCTAGAAATAACTATGTACAAAAAATGATATTATGTAAATATAATCGTCATCACACCAGCACAAAAAATAGATATACGCATGTGTAATCACGGGCCACACAACTTGCCGACTTAACTCCATTGGAAGAGTGATTACTCTATGGTTTAGATGATATAAGAAGACCAGGTTTGAGTCCTGTGTAATCACGGGCCACAACTCTCCAACTTAACTCTGTCGATAGAGTAATAACTCTATGATTTAAATGATTTATGAAGACCAGGTTTAAGTCCTGTGCCTTGCAACTAGAAAAAAAGGTCTCTTTTAAAATTGAGAAAAATGTTGCATTCTAACCGTGAGATCAAAAATACATATCATCATGGTAGAACCATCTCGGTCTAAAAGAAGGAATTCCTAGAAACAATAGTTTTCAAAAAAAATCCTCTGAGTGTTTATAGAACTCTCTCAGTGTTTTCTGGTCTTAGTTGGCGGCCACTCATCCAGATACAAACCGCACAATACGAAAGTGTGACAACATGATGGTTTAAAATAATATATAACAATGATATATATTATACATGTATATGAATATTAAATTATAGTTTTAACAATAAAGTATATGCAAATTACAAGACATATGGTTAGCATTAATCTACCATCTTAATATGCTGGGCACTGTAAAGAAACATTTGTGAAGGATGAATCAATTCATGTGATTGTATCATGGCATTGTGGAACACCACTGTCTTTAAATACATCGTTTTTAATATCCAACTTATTTCTACTATTGTAATGTATATATGTGATAATGCACACAAAATATAGTATTCCCTATTTTTGTCTTGAATTCTAAAAATATATCAGATTCAATGCTTTATAAGGAGAGTACATAACCAAACATCAATGAATCTCCTTTGTCTTCTGTGGTGGGACCTGTTCATTGACCGGCACTAGTTTGATGGCATCAATATCTTCATTAAATCTAGTGTAATAACTGACTTCCTTTCCTAGAAGACTTTCTCTGGATGCAAAACAGCAACAAGCACGGCACCAGGTTAAGGACAGAGAGGAAGCTGATGAAGTCAATTACAAGAAACAAGAGTTATTTTGATATTAGTAAACTACCATGTACATGCATACACGACATTTCTTTTCCCTCCTCGGTGGTGACCGTTTAGAGTACATAGGTATCCACCCACAATCATGTTCTCAACGATAACAGATCATTGTCTTGGCTGGTATCACTATCAGTCAGATAAGGAGTCAATTTCTGTTAAATTTGTATGATAAGATTGTCATAAATAGTCTCTCAAAATTCTTACATTAATTGTAAACTTATAAAATATTTGAGGTTACCACATTGGAATACAAGAATATCACAAATTCAAACATAGAAATGAAATACTTTATACCTTAACTTAAACAAGCAGCCTATCGGCTGAGATAGCTCCGCTGTTAGCAATGCACATTTCAATTAAAGAACTGAAGACATCATTAGAAAATGAACAATATGAATAGTATCAAAGCAATCGGACTTCCAGTTTTTAACAAGAAGTCGAAAATATCACTTTTTACCAAAAATTACAAAAATATTCAACAAAATAAATAGAGAATTGAAGATATCATCACAAAATGAACAAATCTGAGAAAGGTCTACATGTAGTATCTATATATGTAGTATCAAAGCAATCGAACTTGCGGTTTTTAACAAGAAGTCGAAAATATCACTTTTTACCAAAAATGACAAAAATATTCACCAAAATTAGAGAATTGAAGATATCATCACGAAATGAACAAATCTGAGAGAGGTCCACTTGTAGTACCTATATATGTAGTATCAAATCAATTGGACTTGCGGTTTTTAACAAGAAGTCGAAAATATCACTTTTTACCAAAAATGACAAAAATATTCACCAAAATTAGAGAATTGAAGATATCAACATGAAATGAACAAACCTAAGAGAGGTCTACCCAAGGTACATATACACCAAGTATCAAAGCATTCAGGCTTGTAGTTTTCAAGAAGAAGTCGAAAAAGTAAAACATTGACACGGACGACGGACAATCACTCATATGATAAGCTCCGCTCGACAAAGTCGACAGCGGAGCTAAAAAAAGGTGATGTTTTTCATCCCAACAATGAGCAATCCTCACATGAAAGGCACATGAAAATCAGAAAAATTCATGGATATCCATTTACTCAAAGAGTGCCACCATCAGAAGAAGTCAACTGGTCAAGTGTTCACCCCAGGCAACTATGAGCATGACAGTTTTACCATGCTCAAATTTTCAAACTTTTATCTAACAAGACATAGTAAATTCCAAATAGATGGATACAGTGAGGTTTGTATTGCAATTGTTTGTAATATGTCTGACATCTTACAACTTTTCTGGAGTGTGTATATTAATATCAGCATATTGTCTAAAGATTGGCAGTATGTCATACTGGTGTCAAGCTCATGTCAGTTCACTGCATTACATGCACACTGTATTGGCTCTATTGAAAGCATATTATGATAATAATGAACATAATCTTTTCAGCTGTATTGTTTAACAAACAACTGTTTATTGCATCAAATAGAGTCAATATTTCATAAGTACTAGTTAAATCATGGTCACCAAATTATTATCGCATATAAAGCAAAGAGGGTGGTGTGTGAGTGGTCTGTGTGAAATATCTATCATGTTACCATTATGTAAGTGATTTGAACCAAGACTGTCATGAATGGGGAGGTTTCAGCCAATCAGATTGTTGGAAATTTAGATAGCTTAATTGTGTAGTCAATTTGTCACATAATATATTTTTTAGATCTCATATACCATGCATTCATTGGAGAACGCTTATGCACGAAATTGTTCCATATTTGGAATTCACGTTTCCTAATATGGTAGGATGAAAATACCCAGTGCAATACCGCAAAATTACGGCACGCTGTAACTATGCTGCGCTGCGTTACTGTGACAGATATATAATAATTCTGTAATATCAAAAGATCAATAATTGCTAAAAAATAACATAATTTCAACCAGTTTGAGAACGTGGATCTTGAGAGTTGCAGTAAATATGCATCAGCCAAATTTTAAATATAACCAACTTAATATATCAAATGTTTTGTTTTGAGAGTGGATGAAATTAAACATTCTTTTTATCATATAGAAATCTTTTGATATGGTCCCAATTTTGCTTAACATAACCCTCACCAAATATTGTGGTATTTTATACAGTACTTACTAATAATGTATCGGTATGTTTACTTTGAATGTCTGAGTGCTAGGTAGACATCCTCACTCAGTAACTGGTGTTTATCTGAATATCCTAGTCCACATTAGGCAGCAAAGAATGAATATGTATTTAAAAGTATTCGCTACCAGTTCATTTTAGTTTCAATAGATGTTTTTCCATTTACTAAAAGATCTTGTGTATTGCGTGAAAGGTGCAGGAACATATGTCGCAAAAATTAGAATAATTATTTAAATTTTGAATTTGAATTGTTTTATGGATCAATGTCAAAATGCTGATCTTTCAGAGGGAGATATGAGACTGAGATGCACTTACTTCATCAAATATGTATAAACATGGGAATACAAAAAAAAATACTTGTCATTTGTCAAATCCCATGTGATGATTTGACACCACTACAATGCCTTTGTCTGTTTTGTTTGTTTTGTTTTTTAGTTTCAACTTCACGCACAACACAGGATCTTGCGATGAACGGGAAATGGTCTAATTTT